GGCCTTGGCGGCGGCCGCCAGTGCTGCGGGGTCGATGCGTCGCGGCTCCAGCAGGTCCGCCTCCTCCCCGTGGCCCAGCTGGTAGTTGGTGCCGCGCCCCCACGACCACATCGCCCCGTCCGCCGTGGTCACGACGGTGTGGCGCCACCCGCAGGCCACCAGCACGGCGTGGCGGCCGTCCAGCGTGGCGACCAGGGTGGGCGCGTTGCGGTCGCGGTCATCCCCCAGGCCCAGCTGGCCAAACTGCACAGGGGTTTGGATTGGAGGAAGGATCAGCGGGGGATGTCACGGTGTGGCGGGAAGCCGGGCGGCCTGCCACGACCGCAGGCGAAAGGCCACGGGTCAGCAAAGCTGGCCGTGTCGGGGAGGGCGCTTTGATTGGCAAGCAACGGTGCACGGGGTTGCTCGGGGATCCCTGTGAGTGGCAGTCAAGCAGGGCCAGCGCCTGCCGTGTGAGAGCTCATGAGCCGCACCTTGCCCCAGCCCCAGGTGTAGCAGCGGCCATCTGCATCCAGCGCCGCCGTGTGCCGCCATCCGCCCGCTACGCGCTTGATGGCCACATGGGCCAGCGGCGTCACCTCCGCAGCCGTCAGCCGGTCCCTGGTGGGGACGCGCACGGGTGCGGCGTGGTGAGCAGGAGACAAGGGTTTCGGCGCCGCACGGCCTGCAGCCTTCACAGCCTGAGGCGTCAGCAGCAGGCCAACGGCCGCATGTGGAGGCACAGCGGCCAGGTCGCATCAACTACGCAGCCAGACCAGACACGACCCGTCAGCTGCCGCTGGGGACGCTCTGCTTCGCCTTGGCCACCCCAACCCCTCCTGCTCTGCACCCCAAGCTCACTCGTTGTCCCCATGGCCGATCTGACCAAACCTCCCTGTAGTGCAGGACGGCGTTGCACGCAGGGGCGGGTGTGAGAGCCGGCTGGCTGAAACAAGGCAGTGCCAGTTGCAGCCGCAGTGCGCCGGCACACTGGATTGCGGCCGCACAGCCTGTCAATCAATTGTGCCTTATTACGGTTCTTCGAGGCACAAGAGCGTTGCCCGACCCCGCAGCCCGGGCTCACCCCAGCCGAATGTGTATATCCTATGGTTGTCGGTGACGGCGATGCTGTGCCGCCAGCCGCACGCCACCTGCGCCACGTGCACGCCCTCCAGCCCCTTGGTCAGGGTGGGGACATGCCTGACCATGGACCAGGGGCGGGGGTGGTGGGAGCCATGACTCAGCCAAGAGCGCAGGATGCAAGGACCGGCAGCTGCCTGCAGGCGGCGGCCAAATTAAGTTATTTGATTATTTGATAAGTTATTGAAAAATCACATAAATTAGGTATTTTGGTAATTTGACTTTGGCTAAGAGTATAAAACTCTTCGGGTTTTTAGGCCTTAGAACGTCCCGGGGGGTTACCGAGCGGCAACCAGCGGTCTAGGCACCTTTGCTGCGTACGCTGAGATTGACGGCGGCATTTGTCAGCAGCCAGGGATGGCGGGGATCTTGCCGATGCGCTGCGCTTGCCCAGGTGCACGCCCCACCACCCACCTGTCCTCTCTGCTGCCGTCGCCCAAGCATCCGTATTTGCCTGCGATCAGGCGTCGTGGACCGGGCAGGCCTGGTGAAAAACACTTGCGCCCAAGCCTACGTCCAGACAAGGCAGCAGCCCATGGTTGGTGTGTCTCCTTCCCAACCCCTGTGCGGTATTGCTCCTTGTACCACCCCGACCGTGCCCTGAGGTGTCCCTCTTCCCCTGTGCTCACCCCAGCCGAACGAGTAGACCTGCCCCCCCGACGTGGCAACCACAGAGTGCTCCGCCCCCGCTGATACGCTGATGACGTTCACATCCTGGGGGTGGGCAGTTGTGTGTGTGTGTGTGGGGGGGGGGAGCCCGTGCCTACTGCATTGAACGGGAGCCCATAGCTGCCATGCACAGCCCCGGGCTGCGCTCCGAGGCGTTCCGATGCACAACAAGCCGTGCCATCTCACATCACTCCTGTGCTGGCAAGGCCTCTGCTGTCCCGTTTGTCGTTAGTCATCCCCCATGGGCCCTGCCGCGCTGCCCCCCCCTGACCCTGACAACCCGAGCCGCACCGCGAGCGCGTCCACCCTCCGTGGCGCCAGCACGTCCTCTGTGCTGCCAACACCCAGCTGGCCTGCAGGGTGCACAGTGATGCAGCGACCAACGCGCAGAGCCCATGGATGTTGGGAACGGGGGCCGAGCACAATAGCACCACCTCCTCAAAACCGCTCGAAATAGTTGGCAACCGCTCGAAATAGTTGGCACACAACCGCAATACCTGCATATAGTGGCACCCCCAACCAGCCCCCCTCACAGCGCCCCACCGTTTTGGTTGCGGCCGAATGCGTACAGCTCCCCCGCCTCTGTGGCCACCAGGGTGTGCGCGTCACCGCAGGCCACCTGCCGCACCGCCACGCCAGACAGGGCCGTGATGGGCTGCGGGCTGAAGCAGTCCAACGAGTGCCCGTGGCCCAGCCGACCGAAGTCCCCTGAAAGGGGTGGCGTGAGGGAGGGGTCCTTGGGATGAGCAATCGGCCATCTTGGGCGCAGACGACCCGTACGGGGTGTTGACAGTGCAGCGTCGCGCGCCATGGTGCCACATCACGGCGTCACGCTGCCGGCATCAAAGCCTAAGCTTCGCCCCCCTCCTTCCCGTCTCCCGCCATCCCTTGGAGCCGCTCACCCCAGCCCCAGCTGTAGACCTGCCGCGTTTCATGGCTCACAGCAATGCTGTACTCTGGGGGGGGAGCAAGTGACGGCGCGCAGTGACATTTGTTCTGCTCGCTAGAGAGTCTAGCATTGCAGGAGGGAAAGCGGAGCAGGTGCAGCCTGCTCGGGTGAAACCAACGCGGCATCCACAGTTTGCACAAGCCGCCGTCAATGCCGCCGCGCCGGTGAGATGCGAATGTGCCAGCCGGACGCCTGTGTGCCCCCCCACCTGCGCCGCACGACACCGAGCTGATCGCCTTTCCCCTCAGGGCCTTCACTGGCTGCGGCATGGCACAGCTCTCCGCGTCGCCATGGCCAAGCTGACCGTCCTCGCCCTTGCCAAATGAAACGACGACGCCGCAGTCTGCATGAGTTGGTGCCAGCAGGGGGAGTTTCGGGCGTCGCCGTCAGCGTGTCACACCCCCCCGCCCCACTCCCAAGTCCCGGCTGGCAATGCCTCCGCCGCTTGTGCCATCATGGGGTGCAAGCTGGCTGTTCAACTCCGCGACGTCCCGCTGCGGTCGGCCAGTTGCAATCAAGCTTGCGCGGACACCCCAATGCTGATGACCCGCTGGCGCCCCACTGCTGCACCGCCCGCGCCGCATTGGCAAGCGCACCCAGCAACGCCACTGTGTGAGACGACCCGCAGGAGACGGAGACAGCCGTGGGGCCCTTGCTCTCCTCCATCCCCGCCCAGGGCTACGACACGGACCAAAAAGTTGTCCGCGTTCTTTCTCGGTGTGATCTGCTGCCCGTTTAACGTCTCATTTGAGATTTCGATACATAAAGCAATTAGTTGTGCGTTGCTGCTGACCAATGTGCCGCGTCGAACAACAGATCTCTGACGCGTACTACCACCGCCCGCATGCTGCCGGCGGTCTTGCGACCGTTCCTGCTCCGTGTGCAGTCAAGTTCAAGCGCTTGCCGTGTGGTGGCAGAACCCAGCACCTTCCGCCGGTTTGCCGCTTCGCATGCTGAGGGCCAAGAGAGCGGCGAGCAGCAGGAGCAGCCTGGCGTGAACAACAGCAGCAGCAGCAGTCCTGAGAGCGGCAGTGGCGCAGCGCAGCTGTCGCCAGTGGATGCGGAGCATGCGGCTGTGGTAGACGGCATCGCTGCGGCGCTGCGTGGGCTGGGGCTGGCGCCTGGCAGCGCGTGCGTGCTGGGTGACGGGCTGACCAGCGTCGATGTGGGGGTGCTAGTCGGCGAACCTGCCACACAGGCAAGTGGAATGAGCAGTTCTGTTGGCACGGAGTGACAAGCTGGCTGTCATGGGCAGGGGCAGAGGAGCGGGTGTGTGATGGAGGGAGCGCACCGTGTGTGTGGTGGAGGTGCAGGGCGCAAGCCCGTTGCTGCATGAGCAGACACAGCAGCATACTCACGGGGAAAGCACACGGGAGCAGGCGCGCATTGGCTGCCCGGCGGGGATTGCGTGAGCTGTACGGCGGTGCAGCGCGTGGCCCTCAGGGCTCTTGCACGCTGAGCAAACGTCCCCACCATATTGTAAACCAGCACCACCCACCTCCCCTGGTCCCCAGGTGGCGATTGATGTAGATGCTGGTGGCTCGGGCCGCGGGGCCTTGCTGGCCAAGCAGCGGTTGCTGTCGCACCTCGGATGGCGCAGTGCCCTGATACGCACCGACGACTGGCGGCAGCTGGGTGGCGACCCAAAGCAGCAGCAGCGCTTCCTCGCTGCGGTGCTGGGCGCAGCACTGGAGGAGGGCAGCGGCGGTGGCAACGGAAGCGGGGGACACGGCCACGTCTGTGGCTCGGGGTGCCGCCACTGATGCACTGCAATCAGGGGCAGTTTGAAGGGGCGCTTCCGATTTCTTCTGCTATGCCAGCAGCAGGGTGGGCATTGCACTGAAATGTGCAGGTTTCCTCAGCGACTTACGCATATTCGCCCAGCGTGCTCTGAGGTTTTTGCAGGCGGGCACGTTCCGTCCGACACCCGCGCACCCACGGCATGTGCCACCCAATACGCATGCCTTGTATTGTACTTGGCCGTTGCTCCACGCATACCTTGAGCTTGTTGTAAAAAAATGCAAACCGCTTTTTATCCAGCACAGCTGCAATCATCTTGGCTAGGGCTACCTGAGGTGGCTGGCGCAGGATGTCCAAGAACCGGCTCACCTGCTGATGTCATTGTGACCTGTGCCGCGAGGGCCGTCGTCCCCTATCCACCCACCCAAAGCACCTACCCCTTCACGTGCTTTGTTTTACACCGAATTTTCACCGCCCCGTTTACTGTGCAGTCGTTCCCGAACGCCCCGTTGTTCCGTTCGATCTCCGACACGCGCCTCGATGCTTTCAGGCGCAATGTACCCGAACCCGGGGCCCATCAGGCGGCCCGCAATGCTTGTCGATGTTACCGTGTTGGTTGAGCTGGTGGCAGCGTACCTGTTTGCGCTTTTGGCGGGTGTGTCATCTGATGCTGCAGGCATCGCCGCAGCGTTCGCCGCCACCAGTGAGTGCTGGGGGACGGACATTGCTCTTCATCTGTGCACGTGAAAGCCTTTGGCATGCATGAACACCTGAGGCCAACACCTGTGGATCTTTCCTGGCCGCGCCCAGTCAGCGCCACCTTGTCCCCCTGCTGCGGCGAGCTGCCCTTACCCCGCCCTGTCATCCAATCCGCATCCAGCCGCGCAACCCCCACCCCGTGCCCGCCACTTTGACACAGACTGCACAACTCCCAACCCCTCGCACGCCCTCGTTTGCCTGTAGTGTTCTTCGCGGCCTTTGCGAGTGGGGCGCACATCAACCCCTCCGTGTCCATTGCAAGCGCCCTGAGCGGCCACCTGTACTGGGCCCGCGCGCTGCTGTACATCGTCGCACAGGTATGGGGGGCCTTGAACCCTCAGATCTCGATGGGTGATTTCGGAACTGGTGTTTTGCACAAGCATCTCCCAAGTTGCCCGGGTTTTGTGGAAAAAACAGCAATGAACACCCAGCAATGAACACCCAGCTGTGCGCTTGCGTGCGGGCTTCTGCAACCCCGGACGCCCCGGCTTGGGGCGGGCCATGGGGCTGCTTGTTTCTTTTGTGATCAACTCCGTTTGGGGGGCGACCAGGCGCAAAGGGTGATATAGGTCAAGCTCATTGTCGTGTCGTCTGGGCTGCCCTCGCTCGTGGGCCTCCTGCTAGGTATTGTTTGGACGCTTTTATCTGGTTGTCGTGCACTTTTGTATTGCAACCATGGCCCATACATTGTGCTAGGGAAAACTTCGCGCTCGCAATACTCCTCAACCTTCAGGTGCTCGGGTCTCTGGCCGGCACTGCCACTCTGCTGGGGCTTGTCCCTGGCCTGCATGCCGGCGACGCGGGTTACATCGCCTGCCATGGCCCGTCAGGCGACCTGAGTGGCACTGGACTCTACGTCTGGGAGGCGCTCCTCACCTTCGTCTTTGTCTTCGTGCTGTACGGTGCGCAGAGAGAATGCCCTGCGCGGAGACACGGGTGGTGCCGCCCGTATCGACTGCAGGTCTGTGGCTGTACGTTTGTGGTGTCGGTTGACCTGGAGCGGTTTGAAGTGGTGCGTGAATTGTCGTGCGTGACTCCTTGATGCGGCACGCTGCCAGGCCATACCCCTACATTCGGGGATGCTGTCGTGCACAACGAGCGCCTGTGGGCAATGGGTTTCGGGCGGGCTGGAAGCCCAGACAGATGCATGCGTGTACAACTCAACAGGCAGGCTGGCGCGCTGCAGGGTACAGACAAACATGTCGTCCCCACGACGCCACGCTCACAGGATGCTCATTAGATCGTTGCTTGTCACGTTGATTTCCTGTCTTTGGACGGTTCTTGTCACAGCATTGGCATTGACGGTCTTTTGCCCTCCTCTGCGCAGGCGCCGTCCTGCACCCTCCAACCTACGGGCCAATCGCTCCCTTGGCGGCTGGTTTGGCGCTTTGGGCATGCCTCACCACAGGTGCGGTACAGCAGTACTCCTGGCCAATCCAATTCGGCACACTCAAAACTTGAACAATCGCCTCTCCTGCCACCATCATCGACCTTCCCGCATCGTCCCATAAACAAACGCTGTGATCAATCTCGTCACACGGCTGCACGTCCCAATTAAATAATCTTCTTGCAACCTTGTTGCACCTTCCTGCCTCGTGCCTTGTTGCAGGTGGAGTCTTCACTGGCACTTCACCCCTCAACCCTGCCATCACCTTCGCGTCATCGCTGGTCTTCAACTGCTACTGGCGCTACAGCTGGATGTGAGGCTTGCCTTGGGGCATGCGCGGGATGCATGCAAAAACCTTTCAGCTGGGTAGATACAGCAAGCGCTCTTTGATAAAGCATTGCAACCTTATGTGATGTCATCTAATGATAGCCCCCTGATACTAGACACGCTAACCCCTATGTTTATGATCCCTGCTTCAGGTACTGGCTGGCGCAACTGACCGGCGCAGGTGTTGCAGCCGCCCTGGCCATCTTCGTCTTTGGTGGGTGTTGATGCGGCGGACTCATCAGACTAGTGACGGCAGAGTTGGCAGGGGTGGGTGGGTGAATCAGGACTTGCCTCGTGTTGCCCTAGCCTGCCTGATTTGAGTGCATTCTATAATTGCATTACAAACATGCAATCATTGTCACATGCAATCAACAGCTTCCATCTGTTGTTTTGTCCTCGCTGCTCCTTGCAGGCAAGGGCCCTTGGCTGATGGACGAGGGGCAGCGCCAAGAGTACTTCTCTGGTGCTTATGGGCGCCAGAGCGTCGGCTACCAGCCTTTGATGAGCGGCGAGCAGCGCACTGCAGGGGCACCTCAGGGATCCGGCATGGGCGGCATGGCATGATGCACTGCACCAAACGAAGAGGGGGTGGGGTGCGGTTGGGAGATGCAGGTGCGGTTGGGAGGTGCAGGTACCACGCACCGTTTGCAAAGGAGATGATACAGGCCAGTGTTGACTACCTCAGCATGGGTGCCCCAGCTGTTTGATTGACAGTGTTTGTTGTTTTGTTGATTTGAGGATGTCGGATTGTTGTGTAAATTGACATTGAAGATCAACACACTAGTTCACAGGTTGATGACACTTTGGGGTCAACTCGGAGTACACCAGATTTATTGGCACACAAACCTCTGTGGGGTCAATCAATGAAAAAAAGGAGGATTGATTTATCAAGTAATTACAGAGTCAACTACTACGTAGGGCCAGTTGGACAGGGTGGGGTTGGTGGGTTTAGGGCGTTGCAACATTGACAGACCGCATGCGCGCGGCTCCAGCCACTCTCAGCCCAGGGTTTGAAATTAGTGGCATGCACACATGCAAGCCTAGTGACTTGTGTTTGTGGGCCAGGGGGTTTGCAGCTCTCAAGCATGTCTCCCTCCAGCGAGTACTACTGCCAAATCAAAGATAATCGTCAACGGCGATCCGACGAGCATCTCCAGTGCCCCGGAGCCGCGCAGCGCTTGGGCTTGGGGTACTCAAATTCGGTGGTGCATGCACCCTACAAAACCGTGATGTGCCTGCATCAGGCCCTTGCAACGCAAGCCCCAAAGCTCAAGCCCTGCTAGTAGCAACCCTGGGTGGTACGCTGGCAGCGCCCCCATCGGGAACACAGCAGAATCAGCTGAGCGCCAAGAGGTGTGCTCCCTGCATCAGCAATGGACATCCTTTGACCGTGGTACCCACTCATGACTCCCAAACCCAGTGGATTTTGACAGCCACATAACCCCTGCTGGCCAGGCAACCAGTGGGTCAAGTACATACTGGTCAACCCCCAAAAGGCCTGCTGGGGGTGAAGCACATGACCAGTTCACAGGGGCCCGAACACACCACACCAGAACAGCCACCAAATACTTATACACCAGTATTGATCCCACAAGGAGCACTGCCACTACCCCCAAGCACAGCCCATTTGGCAAGCAAAAATGGCTATTAGCCTAATTTTGTAATAGTCGCTATGCTGATTCTGCAACCCCCAC